CACCGACTTTTAAGCCATGTTGTGGTTTCGCTCCGGCAAAGAAACAGCACGAAGATTCCGCAACATGTCTCCTCGGACTCTTCTTAAATGCAAAGATGCTCCTTATTTCCTTACACGATGGCAACCCCTCACCCTGCTCGTGCAGTAGCACCATTAAACCGGTTATCTTCTTCAAACCATTAGGGGTAATCTGACACAGCGGTAACCCCCAACTCCGGAGGTACTCCGTGATCAAATTCGGCAAAGGGAATCTTAATCCCGACCTCAGACTCTCGACGAAAACTCCAACACAACCCGGAGGAGGACTGGTTATTCTTTCCCCCGGATATGGTGCAAAAATCTTCACCGAGGGTGGGATCTGAATCTGCTCTCGAAGCATTACTACATCGGCATCGGTCAAAATGCTTGGCTCGCCTTCAAAATCGACCGCAGGATTAGGCCACGTCCTCACCGGTCTCCTCCAGTGAGGCACCTCGATATCGGCCGCGTTCTCTTCGACCACCCGATCACCATCTTCGTCATCGGGCTTAATATCGAAATGCCCTACCAACATCGGATCTTACCGATAATACTCAAAGGCCAATTCAACCAGCTGCGAGTCATGATACACCTCCAAGGGAACCGACTCGGTACTCGAAGAACTCGCTACCGTCTTACCCTTTCCCTTCGATGCCATTGACGACACAACAAAAGAAAATGCGTAATAAAGAAACGATTAAAAATCAAAGGTGAAACTTACCAAAGAATCAACGAGCAAACGGCGCACAGAGAATCGCACAAGGGGTAACTCTCAAATTTGCAAGGATTATGTGACGGAAGAATCAATAGGCAAAAGAACTCGAGAATGAAAGCAAAAGTGAAGAAAAGTTTATCAGAAATCTCAACGCCCTATTTATAGCCCGAATTTCAGACCGTTAACCTTCTCTATCGACGACACGTGTAATCGACACGACCTTTCTTTCCCAAACGGTGCAACCAAGTGGCCATTATTTTATTAAAGTAGCCGTTACTGTGTAAAGCTATAACGGCGCGACTCTTCACACTCAACATTAACTACGTTCGACCGTTGCGTCTTTTCAAGTCTCCTTCATAACCGCCCATAATTTGCCCGATTTTTACCAAGTGTTTCCACCTCGGAATCTAGTCTTTACTCTGGAACTGACGATTCACTCCTGTAAACCTCAGTCACATCGGAATACCGAAGACAAAGAACACCCAGCTACCAAATCCTTACCGATTCGAAGCCTCTAGTTGTTTGACAATACCAACGGCCATCACTTCGTATGCCCGCCGATATTGGGGGCCTCTCTGTTATCATCCGACTCGGTAAATCGTAATTAAGGGCCCAAAACAGCACCATAAGCAAATTTTACTCGGATACCGATGTAACTTAGAGTCATCCCGGTTCGCACAATAAACTGGTACAACCCTAAAAGACCGAAGTGATCCTCTCCCGCCGAAGTCATTCTAAACCGAGGTCAACATGAACCGAGGTCGTCACCTCCTAAAACAGGTGACGAGGCGCCTACACGCCCTTGTCACGATCTACGAGATTTGTCATCATTCACGTAGGGCCCACTGGTCCAACCGCCCTTCGAAAGTAGCTTTTGCTAAAAAACAATGCACGGATCCCAATGTATGAATCAAAAAGGTTACTATAAATAGTTAGCCAATGATATCTGTAAGGGGATTCGATTCGGAACCCAACACTTTTACAATGAAACACGGAGTAGCCCATAAAGGCTTTTCACCTCGGTCCACCTCGGACCGGGGCCAATGTTGAGTTTTTCTTGCATGATTTATGTCCAAACCACTTGAAATTATCACATAAACTCCACATTAAATCGTTGTTAAGAATCATACGACAACAGGGCCACTAACAGATAAATTCCAAGCAGATTGGACCACATCCTTAAAACCCTCTATCTGAACCCATCTGGCATCAAGCACGAACCTCTTTTGGGTTTCAAACACACATTGTTATCATTCTCCAAACTCAGCATACTGTGGTCAGATTAGATCATAGAAATGTGAGTAACCACAGCATTTGGGTAATGATTAAGCCAGCTCTGAGAAAATAAAATCCTATCCAATTTAGATTTAATCAAATCAGTTTCTTGTCTAAGATTAGACCAGGTGTAAAAATGGCCAAGAGTTGTAGTCTCACTCATTCCAATGAGTGATACAAAATCTCTAAATGGCTGAAAACTAGACACATCTATGGTTCTACCTCTAGATTTGTCTTGGGCTGATAGGATGTCATTAAAATCCCCACCCAAGAACCAGACATCACCCCACTGACCTTTAAGATTAGTCAACATAGACCATTGGATCATTCTAATCTCAGAGTCAGTACTAAGATACACAAAAATACCCCAGTGGATAAGATTACTACCAGGGCAACAAAATTTGACTCCTATGCAGAAGTCATAACAAAAAAATCTAAAATAGAAATCCTAGAAGACCAGTTAAGCAAAAGACCTCCCCTAGTACCATTAGGCTTACAATACAGCCACTTATCTTCTAGTTTAATTTTTTGCACACAACATAAACAAATTTTTCTTTTTTCTTAACTTCAGAAAGAAAAATAAAATCAGGAAGGTGAGCTTTAATAGCTTCTCGCAATTGGGAAATTGTTGAGGGTCCTCCCAAACCTCTACAATTCCACACACATACCTTCATTTTGACTCTTGGGACCAATAGGGGCTGGTCCCATCCACCTCACTTGACTCAAGGATAGCAAAAGTTTTCAATTTTTTAGCTGGCAAAACTAGATTCTCTGAAAGAGATAGGGATGGGTTGCAGTCAGTAAAACTTCTTTTAGTAAGCACTTTCTTAGCAACTAGTGGGTCACCAAGGCTACTAGAGCTTTCCACAACCATATCCTCTAGAACACTATGACACCTAGGCAAAGACTTTTTACAAACAATTTTCCTTCTTCTCTGGTTACCCTTTTGCTCAACAATTGCTGGTTGAATATCAACCTCAACAAGCTGATCATCAGGCTCAGACAAAGGGGAATTACTACCAGGTGCTTCTGTAATAGGAGGAATACCATTAATAGTAGTCTTCTTATCTTCTATAGAATTACATAATCGCCTCCCCCAACAACCCCACTGTGTTGAACCAAGGGGGAAGATGTGCCCCTACCGGAGTTAAGGCCATTTTCCTCACCTTGGCTCTGTGTCTCTAACCCCATGTTAGGCACTTTTTTAGAGACTCCTGCACTAGTACCACCTGATTCAGAAGATCTAAAACTCCTAGATTCATTAAAAAAGCTAGAGCTGGCTTTTAACCAATCACCAAATTGCCCTACATTAATCACATTTCTAGCAAGATCCTCTTTTTAGAAATGTAGTTTTATCAATATGACCAATATGACCACAGTAAAAGCAGGAATATTGGAGGTTTTCATACCTTAAATCAACCCAAACAGATTCATGCCCTAGCTTCAGTTTGGTTCCTCTTAGAAGGACTTCTCTTAAACTTATCTAAACATGGATTTTGAGCACCATGCTATTGGAATTTCCCATTCCTGGGACCACAACATCAAAGACAGTACCAAACAGTTGTCATATCTTCAAACTGATCTCAGCAGTGGTCCAGTGGAGAGGTAGTTTATGAACTTGGACCCAAATCTTGATTTTTTCGTCCTCCTCTGAGAAATGAGGGGAATTTGCTCTGCATTCTTTGAGAAGTAGGTATTGGCCATCAAAGGACCATGTCTTGCCAGAAAGGATCTTTTCTTATCCCTTACTGAGTTGAATATGAACTGAAATAAATTTTGCCCAACATTACAAATCGAGAATTGATCTTGGGTGATCCAAATAGAACTCAGAGTTGCTTTTAGCCCACTGAAATTGCTTATCTTATCCCCGAAGATTTTCCCAATCAGGCTCTGTTGGCAATCTTTCAATCCCGAAGCTATGCCATCCACACCAATATTCAAACCTTTATCCTCTTTCACAGATAGTTTAAATGTCTTTAATTTATCCGACGGATCTTCCTCCATACTGGCCCGATTGAAACCCTACCAAAGCTCACGAGAGAGGCTGACCCTCTGATAAAAATGAACAAGAGGACAAAATACAGGGAAATGAGGGAGCAGAATAAGAGAGAAGGAGATGAAAAAGCCCTAAAAAAGACGACCTAGAAAAAGAGGATATGACGGATGAAAACCCTAATACGCTACTCACAGCGAGGAAACAAAAGACACCCCCTACTGATAAGTTCCAAAGTGAGAATTCATATGCGAAAAAAACAAATCCTTACTAGAAGGAAAGATCTCACAAGGAGAATAATCTCACGAAGAGAAAGGGATCTCATGAAGAGAAAAAATCTCACAAGGAGAACTTGATAAGATTCAGTTCAAGTAACTTTTTTCATTTGACAGAAGATCACACTACTAATTATTGGGCACCCGATACAATACTAATCAAAGCCAAAATGCATAAAATTGATGTGGCCAGTGGCAATAAAGCCCAACTTTGATTAAATAATGAATATTAGAAGTTGGAATACGTGGATGAAAGGAAGAGTTTGAGGCAATCAATTTGGATAGTTATTTTTTCTGCGGGCCCCACTACTGTTGAATTTGGGAAAACTGAAATTACTTGGCATTGGCAAGGGAATTATTTGCACTGAGGAGAGTTAATTGAAAGAGTCGTATAAAAGGCTGTCAAGGATTTTTATTTTCAGAGGAGAAACAACATTATTTTTACCGGAGAAAAAGAAAAAGCCGCAGAGGAGGGAGCCAGACGCAGCACGCACGGATAAAGAAAGCACACACATGCGGAGTGAAGTCGCACATGCACACGAGGGAGATATTTATTTCTCTTTTTTGTCAAGTATTTATTTTTATTATTATATTAGACTAGTTTTTCATCCAGTTTTAGGTAATGCTTGAACCCTAACTTGAATTTGTCTATGAATTTACAGATTTGAATTTATCGTTGATTAATCGAGATGTTGTATTTGATTTTGTTGATGAGTTGATTCATGTTATCTGTTTATAATGTTTATGAATTATGGGTGTTTGATTTAGTTCGGCCGGCTACGTTGAACATTCATAGTTTAATTGCTAGATTCGAAGCTTTAATCCGTAATTGTTATTGTTCTCGTTTCCTTTGTAGTAAACTAGGAGTCGTGCATCTCTAGGGTAACGTGAACATAAGTTAAATGGTCCGAACTTTTGCTTCTGTTGCTTAGACTGATCTATTTTCCTGGAAATTAATGTTGCTTCTAGAGAGCTTATTCAAGGTTGTCCACTAGTTAGGTTTAGTCGAAGAACTTATTTCAATTAAATAATCGGTAAGGTAAAATTCGGTTAATAGAGCTTGTTGTTAGCTAGTGTTGGTAATTCATTAGCAATTTAGAGAGAGCGCCGAAATTAATCAGCGATAGATTTAGATTGGGAGAAACCTGAACCGAAAAATTGGACTTCTCTTATTTTATTTAATTTTTATTTCTTTCTTTATTTTTCTTTTTACTTAATCAATCCCCCCTTTTACTGCTTTCCTAATTTAATTCAATTAATACGAAATTGTCATAATTTAATTTCTTCTCCTCGTGAGATCAACCCTTATTCGCCGCTACTACTAGTTAGTAGAGGTTAGTTAAGGAAAACTTTATAAATTTAAATTTGTCGCGTCGCGACGTGCGATCAAGTTCTGATCTTCAAACCCAACTGATGATTTGGAATTCACGAACATTTGATACTACTCAAGAACTCATGCATGTGGAGATCAGACGAAAAATTGTTATTAGAGTCTGACTTGTGCGTATTATCGGAAGTTAAGTATGTATACCACCAGACAAATATAATCATGATGCCATGTACTCATTTATAGACTCAACAACATCCAGCGTCGGTGCAAATATAGTTTTGTCCTTCAAATAGCTGGGATCATCGGTTGTTTTGCTTAAACATTGGATACGTGTTTTCAACGATTTAAACAATCGAATCATCAGAGGGGTCAAGTAATATATCTTTTGGTATGCCTTTCGTTACACAACCATTGTTGGACCTCCTTATAGTTCCATTTCCAACGCTCGTTATTGATTCAGTTAACCGAACAACCTCTTCATGTTCAACCAAATTACTATGGCTTTGAAGGCGCATGTGTTTTAGTAATCCTGAGGACAATACAACTCCTCCATATGATAAAAGCGTAAATAGCTATATTTAATTATTTTTTAATTTTGTACTAAAATCCCAAATCCATTATTTATAATAAATAAAGAAAATCCTCCGAGGTCAATCTGCAAATAATTCATAATCTTTCTCAAGACTTTTTACCCGATCTGTCCGTCCGTCTTCTCTCGGAAGGCGTCAGACCATCTTCTTATTCATAGGCACGGTTTAAGGTCGACCTCCGGCGCTGCTTTCTCTCGTTCACTTGCTCCGACAACATCTTTCACATTCCAAGGTACCTTCACCTCCTCCCTAAAGCTTGCAATTGACACTACTTATGTTCTTGTTTGGAGTTATACGGTCTAATTTGTCCCATAAACCCTTGTATATCGTGATGAAGTTGAAATTTCTCCAAATCTCAATTTCTTGAAAATTTTCCAAAAATTCAGTTCGCGCATCTACATTATACTGTCTCGGGGAGAACATATCCGAGTTTCCAGTGCAAAAATGCAGAAAACCCTTTCGTCTCTTGTCAGATCCCTCTTTTTCTCCACATTCTAATTGGAACTATTTGATTTCCTTCAATCCGCACCAGTTATTTCTCTCTCATACATGGTCGGGTTTCTCAGTTAGAAATCAATTATCTGTACCGCAAGCAAGACAAAGCGATTGCCGATTGGAAAATCCGGCAAGGTCATGCTCTAGTGTTCCTACTTGAGCCGTTAGGGTTGTTCCGGGGAAAATTATGACGTAAACAGAGTGGGAATGGATTTTGGACCAGGTCTGGACTGGGCTAGTTATGGTTGTAAGAGGAGAAAATGGGGGAAGTTGGGAATGATGTATATTTTTGTTATTTGCAGGTTGTGAGGCACTAGTGTTCTAGTGTTCCTACTTGAGCCGTTAGGGTTGTTCCGGGGAAAATTATGACGTAAACAGAGTGGGAATGGATTTTGGACCAGGTCTGGACTGGGCTAGTTATGGTTGGAAGAGGAGAAAATGGGGAAGTTGGGAATGATGGATATTTTTGTTATTTTTGTTATTATCCTTTGATTGGAAGATTAGGTTTAATCCCGTTTGGTTTTAGATTAAAATGGTTGAAAACATGGGCTAAAGATTGGATTTTGGGTTCCTGTTGGTGTGCTTTTTTGGTGGGTATGGTTTTATGGACCATTTTTCGGCAAGTGTGGTTAGGTGTCTGTGGAACCACAAAGGACATAAGAAGAAAAATAAGATCATCTTGAGTTTGATCACTTATGAATTTAACTGGTTGTTCTCTATGTTGTGTGTATTTTCTTTTTCCTTGTAATTTCGTTTGGTTATGTTCTCTTGTTTTCTCGTCCCCAAGGGTTTGCATACATGTAGACATAATTCCCAATATTCTTTTTAAGAATTTGCTACTGGTCTTAACATTTTTTTTTTTTGTCTTTTTTTTTTAAAAAATAAAAAATTACTAGTGACACTGGAGAAAAAATGTTACTATCCGATATTTTTGCTGATTTATTATAAGAAAATAGATGTTCCATGTATCATGTATAACCTGGCCATACAGTTAGGCCCACAGGCCTACATGGGCAGGCCACAACCTGGGAGTGTCCCAGCCTGGGAAACAATTGGCTAGGACCTCTCTGGCCCATTTAAGGCCACTCGGTTGTGGCTCGCTCCGTCCCCGGCCCGCTTGACAGTGCTAACTGTGACTTATGTTTTGGTTGCTGACTGAATTGCTGAACATTGATTAAATTTTTTTCTTGTTGTGTGAGGAGACTTCAAGTTGTTTAAGGTGTATTATCTTTGTGATTGTGGGTATTTTTTTCAGGGCACAACAATGCATTCGTTTGGGTACAGAGCCAATGCCTTGCTCACCTTCGCCATCACTATTCTCGCACTAATGTGTGCCATGGCCTCTTTCTCTGACAACTTCAATACGCCGTCTCCCACTTCACAAGTCCAAGTAAACTCTTATTCCTACTAAAATTCAGATATTGTTACCCTTTAGATGGTTTTGGTGTGGTTTAGTGTTTGTTTATCCCATGATTTTGATTGATGCTGAGGCCTCGTTTATGGGTTTTAGGTGTTGAACATTAATTGGTTCCAGAAGAAACCGGATGGTGATGATGAGGTAATTCATTCATTTCATCCTATTCACGTAGTTCGGCCTCGCCTTGTCGCGCCATAAGAAGTTATTCGTTCTCTTCCAGTCTATGTTCTTTTGGCTTTCCTCTTCCCATTTTCTCATTTTCTATTCTAGTAAATATAAGGTGGTTGTCGTGGTGTTCTATTTAGGGTTTTTTTATGATATGCAGGTGAGCTTGACACTGAACATATCAGCAAACTTAGATTCGCTATTTACGTGGAATACAAAGCAGGTTTGTCCTTCGTAGAATATTCTTATTTTTATCCCGTAGATATCTTCTCTTTGCTTTTGGTGGTTTATGTTTGACATACATTTTTATATTTATTTGTGGATTTTATTGGTTTTGCTTTTAAATTTCGTATTTTACATGAGTCCAGAAGGTTGAATTTGGTTGTTGGTAGCCGAGTTTAAGATGTCATCATCATCATTACATTATTATCTTGTGCAAAGTTGTCAAAACCTTTTATGTTTGCTATTAAATTGATGATTGATCACTGATGGTAGTCTGTTTAAACCCTGAGGGTACCCAAATTTTGCTACCCTGACGGATGTATGCTGTGGTACTTATTTGTGGGGTCAAACATGTCGGTGAGCAGAGAGAATTAAGTGCCGTCTCTTGTCTCTATAGATATAGTTGGCTTTTATCTCTAAATTCCAAGGTTCTTATTGCAATTGAAGCTCATTTGGATGTGCCAACCAATCACTTTGAATTTTCAGGTCTTTGTATTTTTGGCTGCTGAATATGAAACTTCTACAAATGTGCTTAATCAGGTACTCTAATATGTGAGTGTGAGTCAATACGAAGCTATTTTTATAATACATGATCTGTAATATAGGTTATGCATGTATAGTTATCATAATTATTTTCAGCATTAGAGTTTGTATGTGTTCGTTCCGTGGGTTGTCATTAGTGATCTCTCTCTCTCTCTCTCTATCTCTGCCATTTTGAATGCCAACGTTAGTTTTGATGATCTTTGATAAATCACAAGTGTAGGATGATTATGTAGCTTTTCCTTTTTGTGGTAAACCTGCAGGAAGAATAGTGTTTATTCTTCATTTGATCCTCAAATTTATGTACAAGAGTGTTCGTTTTTACTTGTTCGCTTATTTATCTCTTGCAAATACATTTGTATAACAATCGCATTTATACTGTTATCTTAAACCACTGGCTTAAGTCTATGTCCGATGGATTACAACAAGATTTGGTTCTAGGATCTCTTTTCCCCTAAATTTTGCTATGAGATTAAAGGAGAAGTAAAGTGCCAAACCCACATAACTTGACTGAACTTTTATATTCATTATTTTTAATGGCACGTGGTGATTTGTTGCAGTAAACAAATTTATTACATGTTTAATTTGAAAAGACATGTTCCCCCAACATCTGACTTGCATCTTTGTTATCTCTATTTAATTTGTCTTTGTAGGTATCGTTGTGGGATGGTATTATACCTTCCAAAGAGCATGCTAATTTCTGGATTCACACAACTAACAAGTATCGTTTTATTGATCAAGTGAGTCGTTCTTAGCATGTACTTTGTCTCTTTAGTCTTTAGCCAATTCTTATATAACTGTTGTTTTATATCTATGTATATTATGTGTTGTAGGGAAGCAATCTAAGGGGCAAAGACTTTAACTTAACACTGCATTGGCATGTGATGCCTAAGACGGGCAAGATGTTTGCCGACAAAATAGTCATGAGTGGCTACCGTTTGCCACAGGAATATAGATGAAAATTATTTTCTCGTGACCACACAAAGGTTAGGTTTGTATGATTTACGAGCACTTGAGGACTAAACGAGAAAGCAAAGGTGAAGTTAATTAATATACCGAAGACGAAACTGTTCAATGGATTTCAATGTCTTGTAGGATCTATAATTTTAAACCTCGAAAAAACTTCACCTCAACGTTTGGCTGTGTGATGAAAAGTGATAACCTTTGACCTTCGACACTATATGCGTTCTGATGATTGTTCCGATAGACGATAAGAGTTTAGTAGTCTCTATAATAAATGTTTTATCTTATTAATACAATATCAAGGAAAAGAAAAGAAAGAAGAAAACATATAAATCTTCTCCTTACCAAGAACAAGGATACATGAGTGAAGGATCGAACTTGTTCATTGCAATCGTGGTTGGATATAAAAATTTCTAATAAGCATATCATTCTTTTTCGATTTCACATCTTTCTTTAGTCTCATAAGCGCATTTAAAAATTAAAAAAAAAAATATATATATATGCAATTTCTAATATGCACAAACTATTTTCAATTTCACATTTTTCTTTCCAATCTCATAAGCACATTTAAAAATAAAAAAGTATGTTTTAATGCATTTTTTAATGGAAATTACTTTTCTTATTGAATACTACCTCTTATTCTTTTTAAATGTTATTTTGGTATTATCAACTATTAACAAAATAAATATCGTTTCGGATATTTTGTACATATTTTTTCATTATTACTTTCATCTAGCAAATAAATACGTCACGTTTTTTCATATTCAATCTTCATCTTTTCTGAAAACATTAATTTCTATCCTCATTAGTGTGGGTTAATGTTGACAAAAAAAAATATTCTTAATAATTGTTCAACTTCTCAAAACGACACTTATTATGAATAAAAGGGAGTAGACGTTATTAATATTTGTTATTTTTCCTGTTTCTATATAACATCATTTGTACTAACAAAAACATCATTGGACTCTTCAACATAGTTTACTTTCAATAGTATTCTATTGTTTGTGGCTTTTAGTGCAATTGTGATGCAAGAAAATTCAATAATAGATGAATAATTGCATCTACAGTTGGAGTATTTTCTCAATTTATGTATAGATTTGAAATTCACACTGCACTTTTATATTAATTTATTATTGTTTTCTATTGGGCGAAAAGTTTGGACAGTTTGGTCAGATATTATTTCGCCATTAATGTGAAGATGGCCAGCCGACTGAATACATCAAAAGTCAATTTTTATCTTTATTTAAAGAATAACTCAATTAGATACTTAAAATTTAATTCAACTTTCACTCAACTTGAAATGTAAATGCAAGAAACGGGGAAAAACGGGATGTGAAGCACACCAAGACAGAAAAAATCTAAATAAAGTTCAAGTGGAGTTTCATGTCAATACCACTTGGTAGTAGAAGGAGGGGTCCACTAAACTTATTAGGTGAGCTTATTACCAGATCGAACATCTCACAAGTGATATTCGACATTAAATATAATTCATAAAAATTATGTACTATATTATTGGAGAGAGAAAATAGGATTCATTAATTTCGAAAAATTCAAATTGCGTTGAAGCCGAAATAAAAGAATTCCTTCTTCATATTGTTAGTTGTGTAGAGCAGTGCTCTGTACCTTAGTCTCTGTTGCTCTATTTGATGTATTATTTAGGACACCATGTGGGTGATCCTCCCTATCTCGGCTATTTAGCCACTGAACATTGTATATATTCTCTAGTTATTTAATCTATCATTTTGTTAAAAAAAAAAAAAGAGAGAGATTTATTACTTGTAATAATGAGAAAAAATATCTTCGGTAAATTGATATTTTAATTTGATAGTTTATATATTAAACTTAAGTCGATAGTTGGTAACTTATTGCTAGAATTTTTTTTTTTTTTAAAAAAAAAAGCTAGACAGTATATTGAATATTAAAAAAATAGTTGATATAACAATATTTGATAAAAAAATAACTGATAAGTATGAAAAAAAAAATTAAAAAAAAATATCTCAAACTTAATTGAAAAGAAAAGTCATACTACCAAACGAAACTTATTAAATAATTGTTTGATAAACATATTTAAAAGCAAAAGATATAAGTTATATTATTTACCAAAAGTATCTTAAGAACAAATAATAATATATGTCAGGTGCTATAATTCTTCAATCATAAATTTGAAACCTAATGCATCTTTATAGCCGCTTTATATATCTATCTACATTCATTATGCAAGCCGGCGAGTCGATGCATTATTGTTCACTTTGAAATAAGATAATTCAACATTGTTGAAAAAAATAATAATATGTAATATATTATATGTTATATTATATACACAACATACAACATTTTTAAATATAATTTATTATATATTATATTATATTATATATATAATATATACACTTTAAATGTTGTATTTAAATGTTCTATCAACTGAACATTTATACATACAGATAGTTCACTTTGAAATAAGATAATTTATTAACAACTGAAATTAATTTGGCAGGTTCCACAATTTTGTGACAAGACTTTTCATATACGTAGGTCAAGTTTTATGTAGAAATTAGTAAATTTTGACAGATACAAACTGATATCGTTATAAATGAAATATTTAATAAATATTTAATATCGTTATATATATAAATATATTTAATAAATTAGAATTATTATTATTTTTAATATTTCGGTTCGGGCTTGTTTTGATTTGTGACAAAAGTTCGATCGATTTCATTAACTTATTAATATTAACATTGTATTATTGTGCAATCTTATTATTAATATTGTGTACCTTTAAATTGTTAACAATTATCAATTTAACACATGAACTTTATTGAAAAATATGATCAATTTCCTTTATTTGTCAATAAACCCCTAGAATAAATCTAATTTCCAAAGTCATGCCCCCCAATCTCATCCTCTCACATACAACTTCGTTTACTTCTGCCTATGTAGGTGACCGCCGGAAACATGCTGACGACCTTCAGTCGATCCCGACGACGGCGGAATGATCGAGCACAAACTTCAATTGGGTGTTGAAATCTGAATTAAGGTTTTAACTGAAAGTTCCATGCACTAAACTGCATCACCTCATTGTTGAAGCTACCTTCCTCCACCAAATCTTCAAGCACACAAATGGAGAATAAAAAATGGTGTCATCCACCAACCTCCCTCTTTCACACACAATCGTCAACAATAGTGTCCTTAATTTGTATCTATAAATAGGCTTGTTATTTCATTCATTGAAATCATCCTAGAGAGTGATCAATCAACCTTGAGAGTGTTGAAACACAACCAAGAAGTGTTTGAAAGTTTTTTGTTTAGAGTTTGTAAATCTCTTGTTTTTATTCTTGTGAGTAATAGAAACTTATTTTTCTCTCAAATTATGCTTTTGATCTTGGGATGATACCACAACAAGTGGTACCAGAGCTTGGTTTGAAGCTTTCGAGTTTATTTTCGAATTTTTTTGAGCTTCTGTAGAAATTTCGAGTTTCTGAGTTGTGCTCGAAACTCAATTTCGAGGACACCGTTAGATTCTTCTCGTCGAGACGGTCGCGGTGATATCTTACGGGCGAAAAACGGAGACCGGAGCTGCCTCGAAAAGCCGTTTGAAGTTCTGAAAAAAAAAAACT